AAATTTACTTGATCTGAACAACCGTTTGACGGGAGAGATTGTCAGATTGGGTAGAAGGCAAGACCCAACTACTAGAAACTCACTGTATCTTTTGTTTTTAGAATTTTTACTGGCACATGTTTGCAGGAGTAACAGTTCCACACATTGTGGGGATCGGGTGCATGTACAGAACACATCTTAATTCTTTTTATGTCTGCGTCCCCTTCGCTTCCCCTCCGTCTCTTGGTCCCCTTCCCGTTTGAGAAAGACCTGTCTTCCTGTTTCCTGTTCCCTGTCTCTTGTTTTGCTCTTTAACTTAGGTATACTGTGGACTTTTCATATAGGAGAAACCATGTGATATTTAAGCTTATGTGTCTGATTTATTTCCCTTAAAACTGTGGTGTCAAGGTGCATCCATTTTCCTATAAATGATGCAAATTTGCCCTTTTTATAGCAGAATAGAACTCCATTCTATGTAAACACCACATTTTCTTTATGCATCTGTTGATGGGGGACATGTAGGCCTCTTCGAAGAGTTAGCCGTTATGAATCACGCTGGTGTAAACACGGCTGTGCATTATCACTATAATATGATGTCAGCTCTTTCAGGAAGATGCTGATACTTAAAGGGGAATAACTAGGTCAAATGCAGTTTCTGTATTTTAAGTTTTTTGAAGAATCTCTGTACTGATTTCAATAGTAGTTGTGTTAGTTTACATTCCTTGAAGCACCCTACCCCCCCACCCCCAGCACTTGTTACTGTTGATTCCTTACTTCTTGATTTCTGGAGTAAGATGGAATCTTAGAGTTGTTTTAGTTTGCATTTCTCTGATGGCCAGCGATGCTGAACATTTTTCAGTTCATTGGTCATTTATTCTTCTGAGAAGTGTCTGTTCGATTTAGTTGCCCTGTTTTTGATTGTGTCTTTTATTTTGGAGGCTGTCTAATTTTTTTTAATTCTTTGTGTATCCTAGGTATTACTCCTCTGTCGTGTAGCTGGCAATAATTTTTTCCCGTTCTGTAGGTTGTCTCTTCACTCTATTGGTTTCCTTTGCTGTGCAGAAGCTCTTTAAGTTGATACAATCCCATTTGTTGATTGTTGGTGTTATTTCCTGTACAGTTGGGATTCTGTTCACAAAGTTCTTGTGTGTGCCTGTGACTTCAACAGTTTTACCTATTTTTTCTTCCCACAGATTGTTTCCATCTTAATATTTACATCTTTGATCCATTTTGGTTTTAGTTTAGCGCATGGTGGGAGATAGGGGTGCCGGTAGATAGCAGTTTTCCCAGCAGCATTTGCCCAAGAGGTTGCCTTTCCTCCAGTGTATATTCTTGACCCCTTTGTCAAGAAACTCATTTTAAATACAAAGACACAAATAGGTTAAAAGCAAAAGGGTGTGAAAAGCTATACAGTACTGCTCAGGGGGGAAAATAACATGGGGTGGCTGTGTTAATGTCACACTAAGTAGAATTTTAAAAAGTTTTCATTTTTTTGAGGCGGATCAGGCTGGCTTTGAACTTGTGATTCTGCCTCAGCCTCACAAAATAGATTTTATTTTATTTTATTTTATTTTTGGTACTGGGAATCGAACCCATGACCTCATGCTTGCGAGGCAGGTGCTGTGCCACTGAGCTATATCCCTGGCCCACAAAGTAGTTTTTAAAAGTCTAAAATATTATTATTATTATTATTATTTTGGTGTTTTTTTGACACAGGGTCTCACTGTGCAGTTCAGGCTGGCCTTGAGCTCACTTTGTAGCCCAGGCTGGTCTCGAACTTGCAACGATCCTCCTGCCTCAGCCTCCCGACTGCTGGGATTACAGGTGTGTGCTACCACGCTCGGCAAGTATAAAATATTATAAAAGGTAAAGGCCACTTGATAATGCTGGAGTAAATTAATCCAAAAGACATGATGATCATAAGTCTTTATGTGTGTATAGCCAGATGTGGCACATGCCTGTAATCCCAGCACTCAGGAGGCTGAGGAAGGAGGATCACTGTGAGTTTGAGGCTAGCTTGAACTACTTAGCGAGACTCTGTCTCAAAAAAACCCAACCCAAACCAAAACAAAGCAAAGCAAAACAAAACAAATGGCAAAGAACTTTAAGAAGAAAGATAAAGTCACAATTTTAAACAGATTTCAGTACCTCAACATCTTGGTTACTTTTCTCTCGTTGCTAAGACAAAATACCCAGCGCCCAAAATTAAGGAAGGAAAGGTTTATTTAGCTTACAGTTTGTGGAGGTTTCAGTCCATCCTTGGCTGGCTCCAAGGCAGAAGATAGCAAAGCAACAAGAGCAAAGGGGGAATGGCAGCAGAACACAGCAAAAACAAGAGCAAAAGGGAGGAATGGTGGCAAGCAGCCCCTTCCCCTCCCTTACATTGTGAACTGGCTAACCCCACCGCGGGTCCTCTTCCACAGGCTCAGGATGTATTCCCTTGGCTCCCTGCTGAGTCACTTAGCCAAACCTCTAGACTCCCCGAGTTGACACAATGTATCACCCGTAACACTCAGTAATAGAAAAGAATGAAGATCAGTGAGGAGATAGAGGACTGGAAAAATACTGTTGACTAACGTGAGCTAACTGACATTGATAACCCACCCCGCCAGTAAGAGTAGAGATGGGCATTCGGAGACCCTGCTCCTGACAGAAGCAGGATCACTCTTTCTAAGCAAATATGATACGTGCATTTGTGAAGAGAGACCTTCTCTGGGTCATAAAAGAAACCAGTGTGTGTGAGAGAATTGATGTCAGACAAGCTCTGTTTTCAGATGTAGTTGAAAAATCCTGAGCGTTTGAAACCTAACAGACTACTACAGTTTTACTATTGTTGTCACTGAGGAGTGAACCAAGGGCCTTTGCACTGAGCGACATCCGCAGCTCTTCATAGTATTTATTTAGAGACAGGGTCTTACTAAGTTACCCAGGTGGGGCTTGAACTCTGGATCCTCCTGTGTGCCCTGCCACACCTAGTTTAAATAACAGACCTCTGAACAGCACAGAGATCAAAGAAAAGATCAGAAGGGAAATTAGAGTGTGCTGAGCAGAGTGGAAATGGAAACGCAGCATTACAGAGTCATGAGGTGCTGCTCACACAGTACTTAGGGGACATTTATAGTGCTAAATGCCTAGAATTGAAGTTCACCCCAGAGGAAATATATACCATGAATAGCTTTTTATCTATTTATGCAGCTGAGATTGTAGTTAAAAACCTTTCTACAGAGAAAACTCACTGGGCGTGGTGGCACATGCCTGTAATCCCAGCACTCGGGAGGCTGAGGCAGGAGGATCATTGCAAGTTCAGGACCAGCCTGGGCTACAAAGTGAGCTCAAGGCCAGCCTGAACTGCATAGTGAGACCCTGTCTCAAAAAGACCAAAAAAAAAGAAAGGAAGAAACCTCTAAGCCAAGATGGCTTCATGGTGATTTTACCAAACATTTGAGGAGGAAATACCAATTCCACATAAACTTGTCCAGGAAATTGAAGAAGAGATAATTCTTCTCATCCCATTCTTTTTTACTGTGATGCTCAAACTTGACAGATAATACAAGAAAACTACAAACCAATAGTTATCATAGATGTAGATAACAAGACTTCTAAACAGCTAGGTATGATGATGTGTATCTGTAATCCTAGCTACTTGGGAAGCAGAGACAGGAGGATCTCAATTTTGATGTCATGGTGGTGCCCACCTGGGCAACATGGCAAGAATATGTCAAAAACAACTCCAAAAACCTGAACAAAATTGCAGCAAGTAGAATCTGATGATATGATCAAGTGGAGTTTATCTCAGAAATGCAAGGTTTGTTAATGTTCAAAAATCAGTTTAACTCATCATATTGACTAAAAAAAAACCCACTAAGATTATCTTTTCTTTTTTTTCCTTTTTTTTTTTTTTTCCTCCGGTACCAGGAACCGAACTCACAACCTTGCGCTTGCCAGGCAGGCGCTTTTGCCGCTGAGCTAAATCCCCAGCCCCTCTTTTTTTTTTTT